TATAGATAAGATGATAACATCACAACAATATAAGTACAAAGGTACTGGATTTTTTAAGATGAACATTCAGTGTATTTTGTTAAAATACTGCAGGTTCCATAAGTATGCAGTTTAGAAGATGACTGAACTGGCCTGTTCTAATAGAATACTCCTTTTAAATTCTGGTGGCAATGACAGCACCATTGCTATGTGTCTAATTGCTATGAATTTAATGTCTCTTTTATCTAACAAGTCAAGAATTGAATGTCAGGAACTCCATCAATACTCAAGGTTCATTTCAGGGTGAATTCCATTATTTGTACAAAAGCTTTTGTGCTGAATTGCTTTTGTGGATAGAATAATTATCTGCGTAGTGTTCACTGATGTCAATTCTTTATGTGCTCTTGGTTCTTAAAATAGCAAGAGTACATGCAAACATTTCTAAAGAAAAACATTACTAACAAACTATCATGAGAATCTTGCAGAGTGTGGTGAAATCATAGTTTTTCTTTTTCTTTGCATGTCACAGGATGTTTTCTCTTAGCCATGTTGGCTGCAGTCCTACACATACACTTTCCACTTGTTGAACGCACTGGGACCCACTTGAATTGTTGTTGCTAATTGCCAAGTCAGCTTCAACTTATGGTGACCCTATGAATGAGAGACTCAAAGACACCATGTTTTCCACAGCCCTGCTCAGTTCTGGCAAGTTGAGGGCTGTGGCTTCCTTGATGGAGTCTATCCACCCATAAAATGATTGTCTTCTTTTCCTACTCCCTCCTATTTTACCAAGTATTATTGTCCTTTCTGAGCCCCCAGTGATGCAATGGGTTAAACTGTTGTGCTGGAAAGACTGAAGACCGATAGGTCAGCTGTTTGAATCTGTAGAGAATGGGTTGAGCTCTCACTGTTAGCTCCAGCTCCCCATGCGGGGACATGAGAGAAGCCTTCCAAAAGGATGGTAAAACATCAAAACATCTGAGCGTCCCCTGGGCAATGTCTTTGCAGATGGCCAATTCTCTCACACCAGAAGCAACTTGCAATTTTTCAAGTCACTCTTGACACACACAAAAATTGTATTTTCTGAAGAGCCATGTCTTCTTATAATATGTCCAAAGTATGACAGTTTCAAGTTTAGTCGTCTTGGCTTCTAGGGGAGTTTCAAGCTTGATTTCTTCTACAATTTATTTTCCTTTTTAACATTTCACAGTATCCATAGAACTCTTCTACAGCACATTTCAAATTAGTTTCTTTAATGTGCAGTTTTTATAACCATACATAAAAATATGAAATACAATGGCATATATAAACCTGACCTTGGTATTGAATTCTCTATCTTTACACTTGATGGGAAAATTCACTTTGAGATAAGAGTGCTTTGAGTTAAGAGCTCAGTCACAGAACTAATTAAACTCTTAAATCAGGGTATCACTGCAGATCCACAACTTGGAAGGGCCTCTCCCTGGACACTAATAGAGCTGCTCTTTTATAAAGTAGAGGCAATATGTTCTCATCCTGCTCCTTTGAAAAATGCAGGGGAGGGGATTGTTTTCTAGCTGAAAGCAGCAGCAGCAACAACTCCTCCTTTACCAATGGTGTCTCTACATATACCTTGGTCACGTTTTTTTTGTATTAATTAGGGTTTTCTAGAAATCAGGCCAGAGTTGCCAATAGATAGTCCAAAAAATATGTAACAGAGGGTCTTTCCAGCTGAGAATTCATTCATAATCTTTTTCAGCAAACATTTTGTGGTTCTCCAGCTTTCTATAGGTACTGTGTCAATTGTTATTCTAGGTAGAGATTCTGAATTTGTGAACTTTTAAAATTTCTTATGATATCTGTTTGTTGTCTTTACATTTTGATAGATATATGCGAATGCTTAAAACAGTGGTTTTCAACCTGTGGGTCTACAACTCCCAGAAATCCCAGCCAGTTCACCAGCTGTTTAGGATTTCTGGGAGTTGAAGACAAAAACATCTGGGCACCCACAGGTTGAGAACCACTGGCTTAAAATAAGCAAACAGTATATGGCTCTAAGATAGTCTCCTTGCAAAAATACTGTTTGGGATGTTTTCTCTAGAGCAGGCCTGCACAACCTGCAGCTCTCCAGCCATTTTGGCTTCCAACTCCCAAAATTCCTGGCCATTGTACAAGCTGGCTAGGGCTTATGAGACTAGGAGTCCAAAACAGCTGGAGGGCCGCAGGTTGTGCAGGCCTGTTCTAGAGCAACCTCAACTTCTTCAGCAAATTCAAACAGTTTGTTGGGAATTTACTTCAGACTTTCCCCTATGATTAGTTTTTAAGATATGGAAACGATAGATAAATCTTTCTCTGCTGTGGGACATCAGAGAAATTGATGACATCCTGTTAATTTAAAGAATGTAGAGAAGAAATAGGAAAGAAAATATAATGGTAAAAAAAATGAAAGAGTAAAAAAAATGTCTCCTTTGCCTACAACTACTTGTTTTGCCCTACCAGTGTAAACTTGCTAAGGCAGAAAATGGAAATAGTTATCAACAATTGATCCTCCCTCTTCTGTACACTTTTGATTGTTTTTCTTTCCCGAATACAAAATGAAAACATGACACAATATAAAAGAATAGACAATATTATGGGAATAATGGTAACTTGTTCAACAGCCTTGGGTATCACTCCTATTCAGCTCAGAAAAGCGAGTCAACAATGGAATTGATGCATTGTTTGTTTTAAGGTAATGTTTTATATGTTTGAGGCATCAGCTATACCCCTTAGCACAGACACACACACAAAGGTTTCAAAAGATTAATCCTGCTATTTGCAAGAAGGACAATGCAGATTTTGCTTAAAATCTGCTAGAGATAATTAAGGGTCCCTCTCCCCCAGCAATGTAGACTGACTTTTGCATTCACACACTAGCATTTTTCTCTAAGACAGGGGAGGGCTATTTTTGCAGCCCTCAATCCTTTTAGATTTCCAAACAAACTTTTTCTTCCCCCTCCCCCCATACTGGCAACTATGTGTCAGTTCCTCATCAAAACAATATAATTCCACTTTTAATTGCTATAGCTATCTTCTGTGGAATTGTGGGATATATACCGTAGATGCTCAAGTATAAGCTGACCTGAATATAAGCTGAGTCCCCTAATTTTACCACAAAACCGGGAAAAACGGATTGACTTGAGTATAAGCTTGGGGTGGGAAATGCTACTGGTAAATTTCAAAACAATAATAGATACCAATACAGTTACATTCATTGATGCATCAGTAGGTTAAATGTTTTTGAATATTTACATAAAACTGTAATTTCAGATAACACTGCCCAACTGATTAAACCATTATTCTAAGCTTCTTCAATGTAAATGTGCATACGTATCATTCCAAGAATGATAAAAGAGTAAAATAATAAATGTAATAGTAATAATAAAGTAAAATAATAAATGTAATAATAATAATAGAGAATAAAATAATAAATGTAATGAAATAATAATAATAATAATAATAATAGTAATAATAATGGTAAAATAATAAATAACTTTGACTCAATTACAAGGTGAGAGGGACTTTTTCAGCCTAAAAAAGGGCTGAAAAATTAGGCTTATATTCGAGTATATACAGCAATTGCCCCCATATATAGCTGTCACCAGAGTTACCTGGCTGAGATTTCCTAAACTGCTAATCCCAGGATTCCATGGGACATAGCCATGCGAGTCAAAGTGTCATCATAGTGCCATAAAGGGCTCTTAACTCATCAGAATCCATGGAAGCAAAAGAATGAGAGTTTCACCAGACCAAAAATTTGGAAGGGTAGAAGAATGATATTTCCCCTAAATTATGTGTCTTAGGGCTCCCATAATAGTCATTTAGTCAACGTGTTAGAATCAGAGTTGGACTAGACCATGGGCCATCTAATCCAACCTTCTGCCATGTAGGAAAAGCACAAAGTGCCCCTGGCAGGTGGCCATCCAGCCCCTGTTTAAAAGCCTCCAAAGAAGAAGCTTCCACCATACTTTGAGGAAGAGAGTTCCACCGCTGAACAGCTCTTACAGTCAGGAAGTTAAGTTATAGGTTGTTAAAGGGCATTTTAATTTGGGCCATGCTGTGCACGTCATGGTGGTATAATGTGTTTCTATATAAATGGAAGTGTCAAAGTGAATTATGGCCTTCAAAGTCTGTTTCTTATTGAGATACAAACTAAAGTACTGCAGGAGAAAAAAAAGGGAACTGGAGAAATTGTGTTGCCCACAAACGATTTCAAAACTTTAACAGAAACGTAGCAGCAGGGAGTTAAGGCTATGCGAAAGATCTTGCAGAGAACAGAAAGTTAGATGTTCATTCTGAAAACATTCTTGGAATTAATATCTTTTTTCAGAACTGCAGATGAAGACAACACATTAATTCCTGCTGTGAGATGGGGAAGCCTCAGATCATACTTGCTTAGCTTGTAGTATTATGTTGTCTTTTAATTTGTAGTGACACTTTGCCTTTTTTGTGGGGTATTATGCTTCTCTCTATACCCCGGTTATCTTTAAACAGCTTGGCCATTGCCATTTGTAGCCATGGGAGTTGTAGTTCAAAAGCTTTAGGGGTAATTGACCCTGGCTGTTGACTGTTGAATCCTTAAAAACATATTTAAAACTTGTTACCTGAGTTATAATGGAGTGAAATGTGCATTTGTCCATGGAGTAATGTAGATTTTACTAATATAGTTATAATGTGTTCTGCAATGAGGCAGAAAGTTAGGTGTTGCTTCCTTTGCTAACTCAATGCTTTCCAAAAGAAAGCATTTTTAGAACATCCTAGACATGCATGAAATACTTTCTAAATGCTCTCATTTTCACAGTTATGTCATTACTGATATATTTGCAAAACACTTACTACTTACAGAACTAACCCAGCCCTTCGTATTGTAATGAAGTGAGCTCACTGCCTGGTAAAGAAAGATGTGTTTTTCTAAACTGTTGCTGCTAAACGGCTTCAGACCCTTATCTCCACTAGACTTTGAATTATTACGTAAGCTGCAGGGAAATTGTCGGGGCTTACACTGGGAGTTAAAATTGCAGCCCTTTGCTGCTTAGCTTTTCATCCCCTGCTGGCCCTTCTAGATTTATTTTCGTTTTAACTTCAGGATGGTTTCATAAGGCAGAAAAGAGACTGCAGTGCTTGCTCCTTTTTGGCAAGGATGCTGGCTGGGAATTCATCTGCTTTGTTGGATTGCAGCAAAACCTATTTGTGAAAGCTACAGCACGCTAGTCTGAAAGAGGTTTTATGGACTGGCTGCTTGGGTCCTCTTGAAAGGTAATGAAGAATAATACTGATTTTTGTTAAATACCAGCAATGTGTAAAGCTCAAGTGAGAAATTAACTGTACAGTAGAGAAGAGGGTTATCTGTGCACGTTCTGTCCTTTTTTGTGTTGTCTTCCTTTTGAAAAGGTATCTGTTAAATCTTAACCTGATTATACAGTAAACATGTGTTTCATCTTTCATACATCTTTCAAACTTTTGAACTCACTTTAGTACTATCATGTTTTGATTGATTTCTAGAGATAGAAGCATTTAAGTGTAAATGAAAGTGTGTGTTTGTGCTTGCATGTATCATTGTACATGCATATATTTATTTATTTATTTACTTATTTACTTTGCTTATATACCGCAGTTCTCAGCCCGGGGGTGTCAATGAGTGTCAATGTTGTGATGGGGAATAGAAACAGTAGTTGTGTATTTCTGAACAAAACACCAAAAAGAGGATTTGTAAGGAATATATTCTCAGCTGTAGGCCCTATGTTTTAAATCTTATGACTCACAAACATAATGACATGTCATAATGGCAATCAGAGGTAGTTTGGCTGGAATTTCACACCATTTTCCGCAGCTCATAATGAATTGGTGGACCCTGTTGCCTGTTAGCTTATTCTCCTAGCATAAATCCTTGAAATTTTACATTACATGTGTGTAAAAGTGCAGCCAGCCTATACAGTCTGCACAGGCCTGCAGGTCAGTGTAAAATTGATCCAACAATACATGTTGCAGATGTATATGACACTAGTATGCTGTTAGTGTCTGTCTGCATTATATTAGGAATGCAGTCATTGATGATATGTAGAGGAGTTTTTTTCTGTGCAGATGACTTGTGTAGCTTTCTGGATACAAATTTGTTTTGTTTTCAGATAGACAATCAGTATCAAATGTAGAGATAGGCTTAGTTGCTATTCTTCAAGATTTAACTGGCTGGATAGGAGTCTCAGGAGAAAAAAAGTTGAGGCTGCAATCTTATACTCAATTACCTTCCTCTGTGGAAGAAAATCCAGTGGCAGCTGGTGGCTCCCATGTTATTGTGTTAGTGAATACCCAGTGGATTTTAGTTCACATTTAAAGGAATTAGTCATGATGTTGTATTTATTCCGTGGGTTGGAATTACCATCTTGGATTGTTTCTTTAAAGTTTATCACAAAGCTCTTAATGAATTAATTGAACAGCGTACAAATAATGCAACTTGACACTACTTCAACTACCATGGTGTGATGCAATGGAGTTATGGGAATGGTAGTTTTGCAATGTCTTTAGCCTTTTCTGTCAAACGGTGCTGGTGCCTCACCAAAGTACAACATCCATAATTCAATCGAGCCATGGAAAAATGGTGTCAAACTGCATTCAATCAACAGTATAGATGCACCCTGAGAACAACTTAGAAACCTCACTAGAATCAGTATAAGTTTGTACTCCAGCTTTTATATTTCCTGAAATACTACATCATGTTTTCATTGACTGTATATTTGTCAGTAAATATTTGACAAAACTAACTGCCATTATAAAGACATCCTCTTGGCAATGATGAATAAGCAGGCCCAGAATAAATAGAATGAAGCATGACTAGCAGTCAGACAATAGTTCCTGTGAGTATGATTGCTGCTCCCTTAATCTTCAGACCATTTTAAAGCCATTTGTCTAAAAAAAAAATAGTGTAGAAGTGACTGTCATTCCTTATTACTGATCCTGCACAAGAGCGTATCCTGATTTACTAGCAGCACTTTTTGTAGCCCGCAGCATCAGATGGAGAGGTGGTCGGCACCATGTTTTGCAGTACCTCCAGCTTCTTTCCAGAAGATTGCGTTGTTTTTGCAGTCTTTGCGAAGGATCAGGAAAATCCAGCCAAACTGACACAGTTGGCTGGTAGAGCTGGCCCTGGGTGATAACAACAACAACAACAACAACAACAACAACAATAACAACAACACCTTTATTTTTATACCCCACCACCATCTCCCCAAGGGGATTTGGGGTGGCTTACATGGGGACAAGCCCAAACCACAAGTAAAAACAACAGCATAAAAATCCATCAATAAAAACATAACTCAAACACAACAGCATCATAAAAACAATGACATGGCTGTAAACAGAGATGAGCAGAGACTTTACTCTTATCTGTTCCCTTGTCATGTGAATCCAGTTGGCTCTTAGATGTCATCCCATGTACTCTCTCTCCTTCATCTTTTGGAGTATGTTATGGGCTATTGTTTGTTAAATAAATTGTGTGTCTTACTGATACTATTTTTGGATTGACATTTTGGGAGTCCTCTGAAGGCATCTTGGGATGTATGCAGCCATGTCATGGCCAGTTTGGGAAGTTCCCTCCCAGGTGGCATATAGGGGCTCTTGCCTAAGTGAAACCCCATGTTTGTCATTTTCGAAGTACACAGCAAGCAGTTTGGAGAAGTCAGTTTCTTTTGCCTGGCAGGCTGTTTGAGAGCAGACTCAATGGCTTTCCAGAAATGTTATCTGTGCTATTTATTGCAAAGCAGAGCCCCACATGTTAGGTCCACAATACTACGTAGTTTTGTAGAGAGCTTACTAATATCCAGTATTTTTTCTCTGTTTATTGACTTAAACCAATAAGTCACCTACCATTTGTGTACACAAGTTATTTGAAGCTGGTTTTCAAAACTCATATCAAGCTGGCAGTTGGCCACTAACATAAGGCTAAAGTACAGTTTCTTCCTGGCATTGCAACTGCCTTTTCCCAGATGCTAGACACGTACCTCCAGACGACTTCATCTCTTGCCCTGTTGTTCTACTAATCCCCCTTTCCATCCCACTGCATATTGGTGAGGGAGAAAATAGAAACTTCCTGGACCAAATAGGTTGGAAAGGGATAGTGGTACTATAAAGCAAGAAATACAGCAGCAGAACTTTACCTTGGTATCCCAAAGCTTTTAGAGGAATAGGTATAATCTCTAGCTAAAATCATAGCAGTGTTTTCCTGTCAGATGCACAGCTTTGTAGATGTGTTGTTTAGGCATATTTGGAACAATCAGGTGAGATCCAGGCTTATGTGGGAAGCAACTAACTGCAGATTTGTCTTGCTAATCCTAAAGTTGTTTCCCGTTCTTAACCTTAGCTTCATCTTGATGCACAAATAGATTAGACTATATTTGGCTTTTCAAATTTCAGAAAAAATAACATATGAGGTCTGTGGACAGTTTGATCTTCAGTTGTACCAGGGTTTTTGACTTCTCATTAATGCAGGGACCTCTATGTATTTTCATTAAACCTATTCCTGTTCTTGATTGAATGAAAACAATATAATTCAATGACAAAGCATATAAAAGGTAGTTTGTATCCACTGGATTTTTTGTTGATAGCAAAAAAATATGTCTGCTCAAATTCTATCATATACCATGGCATAGCAAAATAGTGTTCCAATATAAAACAGCAAAATCAAATATTGCTTTTTGGATTGGGGGGGGGGGCTGGTTGAAATATTTTTCATATATGGTTGAATTTGTGGATGCAAAATGTTGGCTTGTGTCATCCTCTAAGTGTACAGCTGTAGTGAACCATCCATGTTTTTAAACTGTGTTTTAGCTGGTAAATTTTGCTGTATGTTGAGCTTGATCCCCATGTAAGCTGCCCCAAGTCCCTTCAGGGAGATGGTGGTGGGGTATAAAAATAAAGTTGTTGTTATTATTACTGTTTGTATATTATATTGTTATTATTACTGTTTGTATATTAATATACTCTTTGTATATTAAAGGTACATTTTCCTTTTATTTTAATTTTAGGGGAAGTGAATAATCCAGTGAAGCCCTCTAAGAAACCCAGGAGAAATCATGGTTTGCACAAATAAGCTTACAGAGCCAAAAGGACTTTAGAAGAGTCTCTGCGGAAAGATAAAAATGTAAGCCCCCCCCCCCTTTTTTAAAGATGCAGTTCATTATGGTTGTCTTTATACTACACACTTTGCACTGAAGAAAAATACCAATGGATATTGATATTACATAGACCAGATTTTACACACAGAGAGACACACACACATACACATATACATACATATTCTGCCAGCAACTGGGGTGCTAATGATGACATTTTCACCTCCCTCCAACCAGTAAGTGAGATTGTGACAATCAGAAGTGAGGGTGGATGGGATGGGATGGGATAATGAAGAATTTTAAACATAGATTTGCAACTGTATTACAATATTGTATATAATACACCAACTTTAAAAAATGAATAACAACGAAAGCATTTCTCATACTTCCATATTGCAGCCTCAGTCACAGGTGGAAGGAGTGTGAAACTGCCATTCACCAGCATCCATTTCACTAGCACTATGTGCTACCTTCTCTCACTGTGGCACACTAATGTAATTAAGTAGAACATGTAGAATTCCATCCTATGGTTGCATTAGCATGGCATAGGATTACTGTTGTGCCCTATAAAGCTGTTTTGAGATTTGAGTATGAGAAAACAGTGGTGTAGTGGTTTGAGTGTCGAGATAGAACTCTTCGTGACCAGGTTTCAAATCTGGCTCAGCTGTGGATAACCTTGGGCACGTCATGCCCTTTTAGGGTTCATCTATACCAGAGAATTAATGCAGTTTCACATCACTTTAAATGCAATGGTCAGTGCTACATCATCATGGAAGTTGTAGTTTGACGACGCACCAATACTCTTTGGCAGAGAAGGCTAAAGAGCTTGACAAACTACAACTCCCATGATTCCATAGAATAGAGCCATGGCAGATAAAGTAATATCAGATTGCTTTAATTCTACTGTGTAGATGCACCCACAGTTTCAATGGATAGCAATGGCAAACCCCTTCTGGAAAAAAACATTCCAAGAGCACCTTATGATTATGATAGATTCACCATGATCCAAGTGCTACTCACAACAACATGCAAATACTGCAGTGTTTGCAGGCTCACTGGCCATTTAGACTCTTTGCTTTCAGTGTGAGAAACAGGCTTTGCTGCTATCTTTGCAATTTCCTTTTACTTGAAACATGGTTGAAGTTGAAAGGTTCAGTCAGTTGTAGATTTGTGATTTTAACATGGATTGAGCCAATAAAGCTTGTCAATGCTAGCCATAGTTAAGTATTCTAGTATACCATATTGTAATGATTTAACCACAACGTCTGTATGAGGGTCAAATGAGATACTTTGTGGCAAATGTAAACTAGAAAAGTACCTGTAAGAGACTGTGGATTTCATTTAAGAGTTGCTTCTTTTCCCTACCATTCCTTTTTTCCACATAGCAGAAAATTGTTATTCAAGTCTTTTCCTCCACTTGTGATTCTTATTTATAAACAAAATAAAAATACAGTGTGCATCTGTCAAGATGTAACTATTCTCAGGTGCAAAGCTATATCATATTCAAACGGAAAATGCTTTAGCAGCTGTTTGGTGCTAAGCTTACTCTTGATACCTTCTTGCCTGCCAGCCTGATATAACGACTATTCTGTTTGGAGCTCAATGACTTTGTGAGTAATGTGTAAACAGGAAATGTTCCTGAACAGACATAGGTACCACATTTCCCTTAATTTTATTATTCATTAACCAGACCTGGGGATTCTTGGAGGAAAAGTGTTTCAGATATACCATTTGTAAACTGATTTTTCAAGGCCCTAATATTTGGGGGAAAATATCTGTAGATGCATTTATTATTTGCAGTCTTCTCTATGGTTTAAACAACTCAAAAGTATATGAAATAGGTTTTGTACAGAGGTAAATGTAGGTATGCTTGATACAGTCTCACTACCATTGTTTCTTATTATTTGGGGGTTGAAAGAGAATACTCTTTTGTGGATCTGCTTATATTCATGATGTTAGTTAGATGTTTATCTTTTGCAGAGAGCTGGAAAAAACTACTTTAAAAACACAATTTCTGGAATTCTGTTAGGAATTGTAATATCAAAAAACAACTTTTTCAGCCTCTTCTTCAGAATCAGTTTTTTTCTTCAGGCAGTTCACTAATCCTTTTAAAAGGAATGTTGTGATGTACCAAATGTCACCTATAGCTTGTTTTCTTTCTGTTCATTTTCTTACCATATACTTTTATAGTTTTTTGGGTTTTGGCAAATAGTAGTCTGTGTGGACATATGTACTTACGCCTCTTAATTATGAGGGACCTCTGGAGGTGATCATGTAATTTTAATCATTCATATGGAAAATAATAGCTTTATAACACAATCTCCCTACTGAAATAATAAAATGTCCATGAGGAACAAATGGCATAAAAGAACTATGGTGCTTATTAGTGCAACTTACAGTATCTGGGTGGGATTTTCTTTTTCTTAAGAGATTTGTTCTAACATCCCTAAACACTGTGCTTCCACAGCATGATAAATACATTCTGCTCCAAGAGCAATCTCTCCCACAACTGTTATAAGTCTCTGAAAAATATACTTGTGGTAGGACTTCTGCTGTGCTTTGTTCCTGAGCCAGGATTCATGCAACACGGAAGCTCCAAGTGAAGGAACGAAGTTGCAGGATGTAGCCACAGAATACAAACAATGATTTCTTGTCAGTTAGCTTTACTGCTAACCAGAAAAGGGATATTGAGGTGGATAGTTGCCAGGGATAAGAAACCATTTTCCCCACCCTTCCTCCACCTTGAGGAAACTTGGCAAATTCAACCCCCTTAGCAAGTGTACCAGGCTTTGTAGAGGGAAGACAAGAAGGAAACTGGTTCCACCTAGGAATTTGGTGGGACCCCAACTTTTTCGTTTAGCAAATTTGAAAATAGTTTTGGGATTCTGGGGCTCCAGGGGCCTTGGAATGGGCCACATGGAGCTCATGGATCATGTGCCCCATGCCTGCTATAGAAAAATGTAGGGGGGCTTGCAATGGCCATATTTCATAGCTCAGAAAATTCACTTATATGTTCAAGGCTGCAGTCCACTGCACACATTTACTGTAGAGTAAGTTCAATTAAACTTAAAGAGAATTTAATCTCTGGGCTAATACATAAAGGATCAAATTGCCCAGTAAGATTTAAGTCCAGGCCGCAAATATTACCCAAAGCTATTGTTCTAGGCAGCTGTATAAAGTTTGGGAAATCTAATAAGAATGAAAATATCTCATTACAAAGTACTGGATTTTCGTACTACAACTTTCCTGCTTTAGTTTTTGCTATAACATCACTGCAGACTTTACTGTGTTTTGCCTTCTATATTTTTCCAATATTAAAAAAGGTTATCACAGATATTCACACTCTCTCTGTAAGCAAACAATAAAAAAGAGAGAATGGGGGGAAAATGGTACATTTTGCCAGAAATGTGGTACAGGCTGTCCCCAAGTTATGAACAAGATAGGTTCTGTAGGTTTGTTCTTAAGTTGAATTCCTATGTAAGTCAGAACAGGTACATTTTAAAATGTAAATCCAGCCCAAAAATATATATTCTTTAGCTTTGGATAGCATAGGGAAAGGTTAACACCCTTGTGGTGTTTGTTTTGCTGTCTTTGCCCCCTGTTCAGAAGATTTCACCTCATTTCTGTCCCCGTGATAATTGGATTTTGAAACTGGGTTGTTGTGGAAACAAGCATTGTTGATAAAGCTTCCATGGACACATCTTTCCTCCATGATAACTCTTTCAGGAGTGAATTTCACTCCCAAGGGGTAGATTTCTTTCACTTCCTATTGTCTCACCTCCATTTGCAACTATGAGTCATTTGTAAGTCAGATGTTTGTAACTTGGGGACTGCCTGTATTTCAAAACCAGCCTTCACTTTCAGTGTATTTGTTTAATTCTAAACCTGATAGAGTTACATCTTTCCATATGCATGGATTCTGTATCCATTAACTTAACAATTCATGGCTTGAAAATATTCCAAACTTTCCCCAAATCCAAAAAAGCAAGCCTTGGATTTTGGTATTTTATATAATGGACAGCTTTTTACTTCACCATTGTATAGGATGGGACTTAAGCACCCACAGTTTTGGTATTTATACAGAATCCTGGGACCAAACCTCAAGTGCCCAATGGATTTTGTAGTAAATAAGTTTAGTCATGGTTACAATGGTCCAAATGTTATGATACTGCTTATGTAAGAAGACTAAGGCATCAAACAATTAAGTTTTATATAACCAGCTGCTTTAAACAGCTTAGGAACTGAAACACAGTTTATTGTGGAATTTACATTTCATTCCTCAAAACGTTGCACAAAAAAACTATTTAAAGTTATTGACACATTGAATAGTGAGTTATTTTTATTTCATCCATCAAGAATGTGCATATCATCTATTAAATGAGTGTTGGCTTACACAAAACTTTTCAGGATGAGACACCCACCATTGCCAGCAAAGCGAAGTAGCACAGAAGGGATATGTAATTTAGGATGGACTTTCCAGCAGAATGCTTGAATATATGGGAAACATCCAAAATTATCTGCAGGAGACTATGAATTGAACTGTGTCTCATTTCAAAAAGGCACAAACAACAGAAACAGTGTCATGATGAGTGTATCAGCATTTGGAAATTTCATGAGGAAGGTCATGGCCCTAAAATCCCAATATTGTCTACTATGACTAACAGTGGGTTCTCCAAGGTCCTAATCAGAGAAATATCTACTGTCTGATGCTATTAACTGAAGATGTAAGAACTTGAACCTAACAAAAGTCGTGTCTGCCCATTTTACTGTCTCCCACATTCAGATATCCAGTGTTAGTAAATTCTGACCAATAATGCCTGTTTTCTTTTTTCATTCATCCCCAGAAATATGGTATTCCCCAACATTCAAATTGGTAAATTATGATCAAAACCTAAGTGAAATGGTATATGTATTAATCTCTTCTGGAACCTAGGATATCCTGTGTGCATGCAGTACTTATAGAGCTCTGGTCCCTATCCTGCCAGTAAAGTGCTCCTCCCAAATGAAGGGGAACAGTAAGAAGGGAAGG